TCAGGTATAAAACATGCTTTCTTAGGTTTTGAATACAATTTTCATATTTTTGAATGTTTTTTTGTTTTTTTTTCCGGTACCATGTAAAACTGTTGATTTAGTTTAAATGTGTCCACATCTTGTCACATTGGTTTGATGTTTTTGTTACCATAGTGAGTCATAGCCCACTAAAAATCTCTTCACTCTTTACCTAATGCAATTTGATCTTTTCCAAAGTATTTTGCCTATTTTCTTAATAAATTGGTTAGAAAAGCGAGGTTATACATGATTCCCTGATTGCTGAGCAGTAATCAGCTTCACTACATGTGTTCATGTTGAACTGAATCACCTTTAAGTGTCTCTTTCAGGCACAAATACCCAATAAATGAGCACATCAGTTTGTTTTTTTGTCTGCTCTGCATGTCTCTACTTGTCTGGCCTCTTAATACGACTCACAGTGTTTACTACATTATCGCGCGTTATTAAACGACAACACGTTCTAATGATCTGAATTCTAAACACAGATAGCAGGAGTAATATACCCATCATATCTGCTGGTGCTGAAGGCTGCTGTCAGAGGGAGAAGGTCATTTTATGATTTTCATTTGGCTTCTGTGCGAGATGAGCGGTGTGAGGTGATGGCAGCTCAGAAAGGAGGCAGGTGGGTTTTTTTTTTTTTTTTGATACTCTGATGGCTCTTTGCAGATAGTTAGAGGAGTTTGGGTTGAATTGAGACATTATTAGGTGCAGATAGGCCTGAGAGATGTTGGAATGTTGTTTTTGGGATGTTATGTAATCATGATTATGGTGCTAAACTTATTTTAATTGCACACAGAAAACAGGGAAATGCATCTGACTTTTCTGAATGAGCATAAAAGCTTCTTTTTTTCATTCACAATGAGTCTGTGTGAAGGAGATTTGCATAGCGGACTCTTAATTAATTAACTCTGCGATACCGCGTCATGACGTCATTTAAATCCGCATCATTAGCACTTATTATGCGTGTGTGCTCCCCCATTATGTGTGCGTAAATATGCACCTGCATGCGTCTGCGTTTGGCTGTGTGGGAAAACGGGGCCTGTGAGGAGGTGGACCACGAAAACGACGGCAAACAGTGACCACAGTCAGAGATAAAGCTCCGCTTCTATTATGCGGCTGTTTGACTTGTACTTTTTACTGTGAGAAAAGCGGAGATAAGACCTCGGAGAGAGCGAGGGCAATTCGGAGAGCTAATTGGGACTAACGGTGCAGGGGGAGCTTGAGGGACAAAGCAAGGTAGTTTTGTTGTGGGGAGGACAGAGCAAAGGAGAGCAGAGTGGGAATGGAGGTGGACTCCCTGTGGACAGACTCGGACATGGGAACAGAGACTCGAGCTAACCAAGCGTGGCCGCCCCTTGCTGACTTCACCGACTTGCAACAGAGAAGAGAGAGGTTAAAAAGAGGCACAGGTGTTATTTGTGTCCTGCTTTTAATTGTTCTTAAACCAATCACAAGACTTTTAAAAAAAACTCAAGAGGAGGAGAATTTCTACCTTTCTTTTGTCTCTTACTATATATCCCTTATGGATTAGGTGGATTGTAATCAACACTGCTCATGCACTTGTTTTTATCTTTTCACTGTGACATTCAAGTTAAAGCCAGACTAAAAATAAGTTGGTAAGCAATCACTAAAGAAATAAAAATGTCTGTATTGTAGTGTGCAAAAAGAGAAACCACATCCTTCACATGCAGCCCCCCCACCAAAATAAACAAGTGAGATAGCACGTAGCCAATCCAACGTGTTAGCAATATGAAATATTACTGCTAATAAATCTGACAACATATGAGAGTGAACACATATAAATTAAAGCAAAACAGTTGAATAGATGGCTAATGACCTTTCCGAATGTTATTTTTTATATTTCCTGGTGTGGATTTCGTTGAACAGTAAGGTCATAGTGATCCTGCTGAGCAATCCATCCCCACACAGCCTCCCTGCCTCTTTGATCTCCCTTATTAAAAACCAACATGAACAGTTCAAAATATTTGTCAGCTATAAATTAATCTAGATAGAAAGACTGACTGGCTTTAAATCTGTTGACCCAAAAGATAATGGTTGAATAGATCACACTCCCCACAGCAAACCTATAGATCTGCAGCATCTTGCTGAAAACACTGTAGAACTTAAGGTTCTCCAGGATGTAAAGTCTCCTCTGTTCCTTCTTGTAGACTGCTATTTATACTCTTTAACCACCTCCACTTCTTTTCAGATAACAGAAATACTGTTTGACCAATTCCTTTTCTTCCTTAATCTACAATTGTGTTCTTTATTTCATTGACTTTTAGGATAAGATGGTTGTTTCCACACCAGGCCACAAACCAAACCAGCTTTCTGTTCTCAGCCTTTTCTCTAATACACCCAGAGAGTTTCCTTAGCATTTCTCTAGATTACTGGACTCTGAGTTTTACTGGAAACCTGAGGTGTACAAAGTGAAAAGTAATGGTGAGAGTACAGACCCCTGTGGTGCTCCTGTGCTGCTGATCTACTGGTCAGACAAAAAAACCTTTTATCCTCACAAACTGCGGTCTGTTGTAGTCATTGATTTTTGATGATTGTTGATGGAGCTACCTTTCTCTTCTACAGTTTCTGACATTAAACTGGAGTGATTTATTAAAGACTAAGGATAAAAGAAAAATCGTGAATACATCCAACTATTAGCTGTTCATAGACTCTAATCTGATACTGCTTGTTTCATGATTTTCATACAATCATCCATGACATGCTGTCACATGCTCTTATATTTTGCTACTCGCATGAAAACAACAATAAAAAAAGTCCCTTGCGTGTCACCATTTGTTGTCGCCTTACATACTCCAACTAACCCTGTCATTACACTGTCATAGTTGGAGCATTACATCACCAGTCTGTCAGCATCAAGTGGCCCTGGAATAGAAGCGTTGCACAAGGTCGTCATCATAAACCCATCTCTGGAAGTGAGTCTCTCCACTTCAGTCAGCCTGGACTCTGTCCTTATCCCGACTGTGACCTGCAGAGGAAATCATGACGCGGCCTGGCTGCGACTCTTAGAATAGAATAGCAGTGAAGAATGGGGGAGATTTGCCTAGATTACCCCGGTTGTTTGTAGAAGTATTTCCTGTTTGGTTTAGGTACCCAGTTGTACTTTCCTTATTAAGTTCTGCAGCCCTCAATCCTCTTAGTGTGTATCACGAGAGGTGGCAGGTGACTGTGGACTTGTTTAGACTTGCATGAGTAAAGTTTGCAGTACACCAACAGGAAATGGTTTCAAGTGGTTCAGAAGAAATATCTCTGTAGTTTGACTTGATTGTTTTGTGCTTCACACCAGTTTGCTCTGTTGAGCCTTCGTTTTGTTTAACAAATAATCCAAAATGGGTGATTTACCGTCAACATTGATGATGTCAATACTATGAAATAAATTTACAGTGAAGACATTTCTTGGTAGTATTGAAATCATACTACCAAGCATTGAAATCCATAAAGATCCAATCAAATTCATAATTATTGGAAAGCCTAGTAAAGTTGTGTAAAAGAAACTTTTAAATAAATTCCTCTATTACTGTGACATCATATGTTATTTAATTAGGAAGAAATATTAAGATATTTTTTTTACAAAATCACTTGTGGCGCAGTTATGAGTAACATATAGTAAGTGCTGGGAATACAGTTTATACAGAATGGTGAAGAGAATGACCCCAGTGTAGGAGGTTAAAAAATAAAAATGTTTGCTTCATAAAATAAGAAGAGAAAAGAAAAAAAAAAGTCAAAGTCCAGGGAAACCACAAGAACCAGGAAACATGCTGGAGGTAGCAGTAGGATATATCAAACTGCTGGAGAGTTGATTACTGAACAAGGAACAGGTGGTTGATTAGGAACAAGGTACAGCTGTGAAGGAAAACAAGTTGGACTCAGGAAGTGGGGAAAAATGGCTGATCAAACACACAGGGAACAAGGAAGCAGGATACCAAGATGAAGCAAAACAAAAAAATTCCCAAAGATCATCACGGTGTTCTCTTGTGGTTTTCTGTTGATACCCAACAGAAAACGGAAATTTACCAAGATAAAAAAAATATGAATTGGGGAAAAAAAGCCACATGTACTACTTATTTTACAGGGATTTTGAGTCTCAAGGGATTTTGTTGAAACTAATAATAGATTTTGTTTCTAACTGAATAAAGTTTGGATTTCTAAAATTTTAAGTGAGAGATTGCACTAAAACATAATTTTATTTTTTAAAGATTTTTTGGTACATTTTTACCAGAGATGCAACGACACATGGCCAATTCTGTGCTGTAGTGTGGAAACAACTTTATTTTTTTTACATAGAAAGATGTTGCTTTGTTTTTATTATTATTATTATTATTATTATTATTTTTATTATTCCTTTATTTAACCAGGTAAACCCCATTGAGATCTAGTCTCAAGGGGGACCTGGGCAGAAGTCTGCAGTACACAGCAACCTGGTTACAAAACAAAATTGATTAATACATATACACAATTATAAAACAGAATAAAACAATTTAAAAACAGTGACACTGTTTAAAAGATTCTCGTTGCCTGTTTTTAAGAATCAAAATTATTATTGTATTGAATTATTCCAAATAGAAACCTCAATCAACAGATTCTCCAATTTTTTGAAGGTCTTTCTAAATTTTACTTTGGCTAGTTCTCTAATTTTCTGTCCAGGACCTGATGATTGTTTTTGGGGGGAAATGCTGTGACTGATTTATATGGAGCTGCTTAATCTTGACTTTAAACAGAAATACACAGTATTTGTTGTGTGCATAGCCTCCACAGTATTGTTACAGGTGGGAAAAATATATATATTTTGTGCAGCTGAGTTTGTAAAAGGGGTTGAAGTCACCTTTTACTGAGTCAACTGCACCATCTAGTGGCAACACCTTTCAACTTGAACCTGCTGTAACTTAAAACGCTAAGTGATGCAAAAGCAAAGAAAAAAATTCTCAATGTTTTCTCTCTTTCTTCATCCTTGTCTCCTTCTACAGGTTGCTGGTCCCTCTGTTTGATGATGACACTGGTCTCCTCATGCTCGCTGGCATTGTAAGCTGTATATTTGTGTTCTTCTTGTAAAGATTATGTTGAACTCACTCAGATTTATTAATGCTTCCCTTTCTCCGCTTAGGGAGACACTGCAGTTGATTGTTTTGAAGTCTCCGCCGCTGAGCCTTTCCTGACTCAAGGTAAAATGTGGTTGTTTTTGTCCTTGCTTAGAAATGTTTTATTTTTTTTTTTAATTCTGTCCTATATTGTTCCCTCTTTTTCTTAACTTTCTCACAGTGAGTCACTGTCTGACTGACGCTTCAACTCGAGGCGCTGCCATGGTGCCAAAGTTGGCACTGGATGTCATTTCCTGTGAAGTGGTGCGTGTTCTTCAGCTGACAGACAGCTGCATCGTTCCGATCAGCTACCAAGTCCCTCGCAAGGTATCGCCGGCAAACAACGGATTTCTGGCCTCCGCATACATCTCGATTTCCTTTCCACAGATGTTTTATTGCTTGAGCTTTTGTATCTCGTTCTTCGTTTTGCAGAGTTCAGGCCAGGAGTTTCATGATGACCTTTATCCAGACACGGCGGGCACGACTCCAGCCATGTCTGCCGAGGAGTGGTGGAAGGGAGGGAACAAACAGGTAACAGAACCTCGCTCACAGCAGCTTAGAAAAGTTTGAAGGTTGCTCAAACAAGCAGCTCTGTTTGTCCCAAGGTGGATAAAGTCAGCCTCCACCCAGACAAGAGACCCAAACCAGCAGCAAAACAGACGCCTGTTAAGAAGGAGCTGCCCCGCGGAGGAAGCAAAGAGGTAAGAAAATGTGTTTTTTGTTTTTCTAAAGCAGGACGAGCTTTATGTTTGATTAGCAGAATTTAAAACGCCATTCTGCTCTTTCCAGGATCAGCCTCACGGCTGCTCCACCTCCAGTAGTCCTCTGAGCACCCCCAGCAGCACCGCTGCCCCGTCCCGCTCTCCCTCCTCCACCTCTGGTCTCTCCTCAGGCTTCCTCCCCAGTCCCAGCCAGAGCGTAAAGGCAATCCAAAACATGCTGGGTAGAAACTAACGCATGCACACATCCGTATTTTTAGAATAATTATCTGTTTTAGATGTTTGTTTTTTGGGGGGTTTTTTAAACTAAGGTTTTCTTTTTTAATCAGGACCAACATCCAAATTCCGACACATCCAGGGTGCGGTGATGCACCGGGACAAACACATCACCAACATCCGGAACCTCAACCTGACGACGCCAGGCGAGTGTGACGGCTTCTGCGTAAACCGCCAACGTGTGGCCGTCCCGCTCGCCATAGCAGGAGGCCAGATTGTTGTGTTTGAGGTATGAATAAAAACATTTTGTTATTTGTTATACTTAAGGAAGCTTACCAAAAAGTATACACACATCCCCTACCAATCCTGGTGCAGTAACTAGCCTTATTCAAAACTAATGTGCTTTCTGAGAGTGTGCACAAATTGAATCGGAGACTTCCAGTTGAGCTAATGGTCCCTTCGACCCCCTGAGAATTTAGTTTAGTTAGTGCTTGTTAGATGTAAAACCACAGCTGTACTCCAGCTGTTTGACTTTTTCCCTCTCCTCAGCGCTCTGGACCCGGGAGGCAGCCGGACACAGCTCTGCCCACCATCCAAAACTCTGTAAACGTGGCCGACTTTTCCTGGGACCCCTTTGACGCACACAGACTGGCAGTGGGTGAGTGAATGCATCCTTACTAACAAACTCCACCTTTACAGATAAAAACTTCTTCCTCACAAACTTATCTGAGCATGTCTCTGAGTTTATATTTGAATGTCTCTGTCTAGCTGGAGATGATGCTAAAATCAGGATGTGGCAGGTACCTGAGGGTGGGCTGAAAGAGACGCTGACTGAGCCTAAGCTCGTCTTGCAAGGTAGGTCATATTGCATAGAGAAACAAAATCAACCTAAATCTATGTATTAATGATTCTGGCTTTGGCGGGAGTTTGAAGAAATCGCAATAAATCTCCGGGGAGGAAGTAATATTTTCCAGCTTTCTCAGTATTTATTTCAAATGCATCTGGAAAACTTGCCAAAGAAAATAAACTTGCACATTTCCTGGTGTGACTCTTGAAGTCTCAGTTGTATTGATGGCTACCCCCCGACTCCCTGTAGGCCACACCGAGAAGATCTACTCCATCAAGTTTCACCCTCTGGCCAGTGGAGTCCTGGTGTCCTCATCCTACGATCTCACAGTCAGACTGTGGAACCTGGAGAGCGGAGAGCAGGTCAAGATTCTCACCGGCCACCAGGACCAGGTAGGTTGTTACTGTAGCAAAGAAGGCGCAATTTGAACGAGCAGAGATGTTTCCATAAAGCGAAGGGAAACTTATGGAAGGTTTTCCTCCTGGCTTGGTTTTCCCGATGTTCCCGTTCAGGTGTTTGGAATGGCGTGGAGTCCAGACGGGAAGCTGCTGGCCACAGTCTGCAAGGATGGGAAAGTTCGCATCTATGACCCTCGCAAATCTACAGCACCTGTGCAAGTATGGCAACAAACTGTAGAACAGCAGCTTACAAAGTAACAACAATCTGGCATTTTCAGTTGTTCCACGATAATATGAAAAACTTCAAGAGGTCTGGATACTTTTATATTTGGATTCAGTCGTTTTTTTTGTAATATTTGTCTCTCAGTTCTTAGATAATAGTCGTCGTATTGTAACGTCTCTTCAGTATTCGCATAGACTTGCTGTTTTTGTTTTCCCAGGAGGGGCCGGGGCCAGAGGGCCACAGAGGAGCTCGTGTGGTCTGGGTGTGTGATGGGAAGTACCTGCTGGTGTCAGGATTTGACAGGTACTGGAAACTAAACCCTTTTTATTAGTCTGTTCATCATGGCTGTTAAGTTTTTTTTTTATTTACTTTTCTCCTGTCTGAGCAGCACTGACCAAAGTAACCCTTCTTCTCGTCCTCTTTTCTATTGCTGTTTTAGTCGTAGCGAAAGAGTACTTTACCTGTTCTCCGCTGACTCCCTGTCATCCGGGCCAATAGCCAACGCTTCTTTAAACGTATCTCCCTCCACTCTTATCCCATTTTACGACCCCGACACCAGCGTTGTAATTCTTACTGGGAAAGTGAGTAAGATGAGAGATGAACTGGCGCAAGTCTCTGCAGAGTGTGTCACGGCTAAAGCATAATTTGCATGAAATTATGTTTTCTGCTTTTCTTCAGGGCGACACCAGAGTCTACATTTATGAGTTGGTCCCAGAAGATCCCTACTTTATCGAATGCAGCAGTTTTAACTCCCCTGAGCCTCATAAGGTACTAAGGCTACTTACTTTATCCTAATTATCATCGGCACATCCATTGAAGTTGAAGTTCAAGTCATGGATTCTGTGCTCCTCTGTGTCCAGGGCCTTGCCTTTTTGCCTAAAACGGAGTGCAACGTGCGAGATGTGGAGATAGCTGTGGGACTGATGCTCACCAAGACCACCATAGAGCCGGTGGCCTTCAGAGTCCCCCGGGTTAAAGTGAGGCAACCGAATCCCCTTGCGAACACTTCCAGGAACACCGCCTGCTTTTTTTTTTTTTTTAACTCATGTTTACTTCTAATGAACAGAACGTTTTTCCTTTTTGGCTCTCCAGAAAGAGTTCTTCCAGGACGACGTGTACCCAGACACAGCAGTGTGGTGGGAGCCTGCGCTCACCGCCTCCGCCTGGCTCTCTGGCTCCAACGGCCAGCATAAAAAGCTCAGCCTGAAGCCCAAAGACATGACGCCAGGTGCGTCTACAGACTCAACACAGCTCTTAAATATTCATCAAGATGCCGTCTTTAGACCCGCATGTCGACACTCTGGACATGTCCTGGTACGTTGGGTTGCTTCATGCGAAGCTCTGTTTGTGTTTTTTTTTTTCCTCAGTGAGTGAGGCCCCCAAAGAGGCTCCGGTGAGGAAATACCTGCCCTCGTCTGTTTACCTGGAGGAAAAAACGGATGAACAGAAAAAAGACGAGGTGAAACTTTGCATTAGTTTGTCGTAGATCAGATGTATGGACCTTTTGTAGTACCTGAAAAAAAAGCATGAGATCTTAACACTCGGTGTGTGTGTGTCTGCGTGTGTGTGTGTGTGTGTGTGTGTGTGCGTGACACAGCTCCTGAGTGCCATGGTGGCTAAGCTGGGAAACATGGACGACCCCCTGCCACAGGAGTCCTTTGAGGGTGTGGATGACGAGGAGTGGGTGAGCACATGTGACAACTTCTTGAAAATAAAACACAAAACGTATATTTTATGTGAAGAACCAACACAAAGTAGTGCACAGTGATGAAGTGGAAGGAAAGACGTAAGCAATTTTTGCGAATAAAAATCTGAAAAGTGTGATTATTCACACTTTTCAACCAAATCCCAAGAAAAAGAAAACAATTATAGCGAAATCTACTTATTTCATGTGACTGAGGTCAAACTGTTGTGTTCACAGCCAAACAGACTTTAAAAAGAAACTGGAAGAAGAATTAAAAGGTTTTCAGGCACCTGTATTGATACTTAAAAAAAAAAAAAAAAAACTTATTTAACTCTGATTTAAGCATCTCCAACAGCTATTACCTGACCCGTCTGCTGTGCCTTGGTTTTAGTGATGCTGCTTGTTCTCTAAGAAGCTGCTGGATTTTTGTTGTGCTTTTCATATGTTTGTGTATTTTTTTTAAAATACATGTCACAAAAATTTCACTACTTTCTGTTGGTTTACCACATAAAATCTCAATATAATATTTTGCACTTTTGGCTGAAGTGCAGCAAAACATTGAAGTTCAAGTGATATAAATTATTTTTTTTCCAGTAACTGTATTTGTTTATTGTTTTTTCTTGTAATATTATCTCTGAATTTTGTGTTTGTGTATTTGCATTAGTTGTGTTCTTAACTTGAAGTCACAGTTTAATATATTCAGGAAATCAAATGAATGTAAACTGAGCGGGTTGAAGTTTAAAGTTTCTTTTCATTCGAATCAAGAAATGATGGCAGTTTTTTTTTTTTTTTTTTTTAGTGATCTCATTCTTGTCTCCCTTTTATTCAGGATGATTAAAGAGGATGTCATCATCCGGGCTTTGCTTCAAGTCATGGTGCCAACAGCAGAGAGGAAAGGACAGCTCAAGAGTTATTTTGCCATTCGTGTTTGAACGCGTCACCCAGACAATCTCCTGGGGAAAACGAACACCGCAGCCTACCGAACAAGAGAAACATTGCATTACATAAAAACTCATATGGTGTAAATTAAACTTCCATAATATTTAGTACTTCTCTGCAGGAAATCCCACATTCAGTTTGAGCTTAAAATAGTTGTTTTCTCTGTACAGACGACAACATAAGTGTGGGCACCCGTGGTAAAAATGTAAAACCTGAATATAAATTAATCTTGAGAATAGCCATAATTTCAAAGCAAAAAAAAATACAGCCTTTCATTTTAATATACTTATTTCATGGGAGAAACATCTTATTTTACAAAATAATTACTTTAACAAATAATGGGATATATAGAAGAAACAAACTCCTCTTGGAAAGCACAATCTGTCAGCATTTGCTTTTTTTTTCCAAGATCAAATGTAAAATCTTTCTTTTCTGATTAATTGTACTAATATTGAAAGCTCGGATTCCCCCCTTCTCTCCCTTTTTTCATTGTGAGATTACGCTATGCTTTTTGCACATCTTTACCAGGGGTGCCAACAAATGTCTTCATTGGTATATCTTTAACGGATTCATCTATTTGATGAATTCATGAGATAATCATATAAAATCACACAACGGTAAAATAACAAATCAGAAAATGTGAATAAATCTGCAGCCTGATGTATAACCAGTTAACTCTCTTAGCAGCTTGTTAAAATAAACAATGTAGAATCAAGGCTAGTTTCTCCTAACTTTTAATGGCACATTTTTATTTTGTAGATCTAAATAATGAAATCTTGAATGTTTGGTTCGACATGGGACCACTGCTTTGCTTTCTAATTGTCCACTATAACAGCACAAGTTCTTAAGACTGATTGTCTTCCAGTAGATCATGCAAATCACAGTTACTGTAACAGGTTTGAGCTTCTGCAGCAGATGCCACCTTAAACTTAAGGACACAACAGGGACAGGGGAGTCTCTGATGTTAGGAACTATAGATTCCTTTTCTTTTTAAGCATAAATTGATATACAGTTGATTGATGGTAGATATTGTGCATTTGTGTATTTGTCCTAGTTAATGGGTTTGATTAACTCTTTAACCATTAAGGAATGCTTGTATGAGGAGGGGAAAAATTGGGAATTTTGTGCTTTTACTTAATCATTCCACTTTGTTTGCAGGGTAGCCTAATGTTTTTTTTAACTTTAACCCTTGTTAATATTCTAACAGTTTGGGGAATAATACCCTTTGAATGGTATTAATTAGGCAAACGGCACAGTGTTAGTAACTTAAAAGTGAAGCCATTGTTGTGTAATCATCACTCAGGGCCGCGTTGGAGTCGTTGAGAACCATTTATTGATCCAACAACGTTGTTTACATCCTCAGAATGACTGATGTGATCAGGCCAAATCAGCCGTGTATTTTCCTGCTCGTCATGTTGAACACATGTACGGTGGATGTCACCGGATGTATGTGCTTGTGATTTTTAAAGGTCTCTTGTATGTTTTGATTGGATTAACTGGTTTTGGGCTTTGTTTTTATATAGTAAGTAGAACATTGTGGTTTTGTTTTTATAGTAATGGTTTGTGGATCTTTTTTCAAAAACTGTCTTGCAATAAACACCATATGAACTCTCTTATCTTCTGTAGTTAATGTGGTGAGCAATGCTGCTTCATTCATGGCAAACTAGGTAAATGCACATCAGACAAAAATATTTTTCTTAGTTATCATTTCATCAATCTTGCATTAAGGCCACAAACTTCACTGTATTTTATTTTTGAAAAAAATTATGAGTCAAAAATTTATAAGTGTGGCCTGCATTTGTATTCAGTTCCCTGAGTCAAGGTGAAACTCCACCAATGTCTCAAGTCATTTGCAGCCTCTTGAATGTTTGTGTTTGTTTTGTTTTTTTCTTTCAGGATTCTTCCAAATTTGCTTCATCCATATTCCTACTATGTTCAAACTGCTTCCTTGACCATTTAAAAAAATAAAACCCCTCTAAAAAGCTAAATGGGTTAAATACAAATGCATGGCACAAAGGTTTAAAATAATATTTATTTATTTGGAGTTTGTGATGGTCAGAATAAATGGACAGGCAGGCATGCAGGCATGCTGACAGACGTATAGAATCTCCGATTGGACTCTTTGCTTCCCTAAATACATACTAAATGGTGAAAACTATAAAGTTAGCCTTAAAATACTTTGCTGTGAGGGTTAGTATGCTCTCATTAATATAGGCAACACCTACCTTAGTCATTTCTCAAGCCAGTGGCTCATATTCACATTATTTAGTTTTATCAATTTATAATTTTTTTGCCTTTAAATTATATACTATAGCCGTATATGTTACTGAATTTCAGTGCTGCTTCTCAGCAGCGCCCTCTGGAGTCACAACAGTTGATGGTCACCGTATGTGGTGCGACGCTGCATTCATCCCTCCCCGCCAGCAGGGGGCGATGTTTAAAACGTACCACCAAGATCATTCGTCCTGAATGTTTAGTTGTCGATCTTCCTTGAACTATGACGCTTCTGTAACCTTCAATGTGCATGTGTGACAACAGGAGTCGGCACATCGGCTGTGTAAGCTGTATAGCGACATAAAAATGGTAAGAACGTGTTGTTTTTGCCAGGTGTCATGCGATTATGTACAGCGTTAACTCTAAAATACGTCGTGGTGGTATTTTAGTGGGGGTTTTTTTAGTGCTACTGTGTCTTTAACTTGCTCTACATAACGAACCTAATGCATTTCAAAAGAGCTTCAGTAATAAGACGGTTAATGTGTTTCTGTGTTGAGTTCTGTCTCTGTGTTTTTGTCACAAACAGCCGGCTGACACTGTTCATAACTGTTTTAATCTGAACACTTTCAGGCTAAATACCTCGCTCAGATCGTAGTGATGGGTGTTCAGGTGGTGGGACGAGCTTTTGCCCGGGCTTTACAACAGGAGTATGCAGGTATTTATGCTTCCGTTGTCCTGAGCCTGACGTCTGCCGTTATGGATTTGATTAAAATGTTATTACACCTCTTTAAAAGAATCTTTAACCTTTAAGGAATATGTAAAGAGAGGTGCAAGTTTTAAGACTAAAAACTGATCCTGATCTTTAAACATATACATATATATATATTTAGAAAAATGACAAGTTCTCCATGAGTTTGGGGTCTGGAGACTTTTTGTGCCATGGACAAAATGAGGACCACTAAGTTATCACTTTTTCCTTGACAAGAAAGTTGCTTAGCCATGTTGGGTAAAAGGTTGCATAACAACACAGAAGCAATATGATGATAATGTACAAAAGCTGCCTCTGGATGATGTTTTCATACCATTGTTTATTCATGACAGTAGCAAAATTGAATGAGACATGGGTCTCTTCACAGCCTGGAAAAATTCTGGAGTTTTATTCAAGTGTTAGAAGCAGCTTTTATGTTTCTGCAAAACGACAATCTGTCTATCTGCTAGTCTGATTCTCCGACGTAAGCCACGTTGGCATGGCGTCACTTCAGGATGGATCTCTGTTGTATCTCCCTCTCCCAGCGAGTCAGGCAGCAGCCAGGGCCAGGGGCCGATCCGGGCAGCAGTCTGCCGCAGCGTCCAGCATCACCGGGATGAGTCTACAGGAGGCTCAACAAATCCTCAACATCTCAACACTCAGTCCTGAAGAGATTCAGAAGGTACAACCAGAAACCGTTGTGTCCTCCTTACTGACATGTTTAAATCACAGTATGGCAGGTTTTTAGAAATGTTCCACACTTCAGCCTCTTTCACTGAAGGACTTGGACCTGGAAACACTGACTTTGGTTTGGAGTTTAGTGTAGTGAAGAAACTTGTGGTTTAAATATCAGGGTTGACTTCAGATGTCATGTGTTTTTCCTAGTGAATGCTAATACTCAAAGCTTTTTGAATTATACAGCTTTGTAAATCTTTAACTTTATTTATAATCAAGTTGGTTAATTATGAGTTTGATTATATATAACAAATATTGTGAGGGGTTTTTTTTATTAATGTTGCTGTTTTTACATTTAAAAAGAAAGTGCTTTCACACCGACTCTGAACTGTTTATCTCCTGCAGAGCTATGAGCACCTTTTCAAAGTCAATGAAAAGTCAGTGGGAGGTTCATTTTACCTGCAATCAAAAGTGAGTAGTCTGTTTTTTCACATAAAATCACAATGTTAATATTAACCTTAATGTGTGATGTCACATCCTTAGTTGTACTTTTGGATAACAGAAAAAAAAAAAAAAAAAAAAAAAATACATTTTAGTCTTGTGAGATCCACAGCAACAAATCGATCATTATTTTTGTAAGATTTGCTTCAAAACATTATTTCCACAGTGTGTTCTTAAAGTTATGGAAATTGCTTTTATAAATTTTCTGGTCATTTTTCACCTTTTATCCCTTTTGATTTGCTACATCACAACCTGCACACACATTCAAAAATCAAATGGGTTTTGGCCTGTAGACCTGTGTTTAAAATTGACATGTTTGGTTTTATTGTTTTTTTTGTTTTTTAAAACATGTCTTTACTTCTGTCTGTTATTTTTCCTTTCTTGCACCATTATTACTTTCTTTCTTATTATTCTTTTCTTCCTTTGATTCTTCTTTGTGCCCTCCTTCCTTTCTTGCATCCTTTCATCTCTACTTTTCCTTTTTCTTCTTCCCTTCTATTCTTTCCTCATTGTGTCCTTTTGTATCCTACCTTTCTTTCCTTATTTGTCTTTTCTTCCTTCTGTCGTTAGTTCCCTCCTCACTTCAATGTGCCCTTCCCATTGTTGCTTCTTCGTCTTTCCTTTTTTGTCTCATGTCCTCCTTCCTGTTGTTTCCTTGTCCTTTTTCATCCTTCCTTAGTCATCCTTGCTTTGTTGTGTATTTTCCTCTCTAGTGTCCTCCCTCCCTTCCTTCCCCGTCTCCTTCTTTCCCCCTTTACTGCGTGAAATCTTAAGATGGAACATGTTTTGTATTAAAGCAGATGTGTACACCATGTTCCTAATTATTTTTCCTCAGAAAAATGCTAGAGTTCTGCACTAAGAAAATATGACTCACACCTCACACCAGGTGGTTGAGTTATTCTGTTATTCACAGTTGCAGTGTTAGTGTTTTAGATGCTTTATCCTCCGCTGCAGGTCATTCATGTGTCGATTTCTTGCATTGCAGGTGGTGCGAGCTAAAGAGCGTCTGGATGAGGAGCTAAATATTCAGAAACAAGAACAAAACCAGCAGTCGCAGCAAAATCCAGAAACATAAACAATAATATTGGACCTCTAGTTTCTTCCCCCATCTCCCATGTAAATTATTACCCAATAAAGTCTTTTCTTTAGTCTTTTGTATGTGGCAGTGAATTCCCATTAGACAATATGCAATTATTGTCTTTTTTTTATAGACAATAGGTGTCTGTAAAAATAATGTGTTGGAAACTCAGGTAACAATGCTTTTTGTCAAATGTAAACGAGGATAAGATGATTGTTAGAGTGTGAAAGAAACAGTACATGTAGAAATATATAAAAAAAAATAAAAATAACACGAGCACACTTATCAAATGCAACTTTATTAATTAAACATTTTTGTTTTCATTGACATTATTATCAATATCGTAATAAAATTCCTCTAAAACAGGAGAACGCCGCTATGTTGTACCAACTGGAGACTTTTACAACGCTTAAAATTCTGCATGTTCAACCACAGAACATGGTGCCAGGAAAAATATATTTTCATATAACTTTTTCTCATATAGTGTATAACGTCTATATTTACCTGTAATAAAAAAAAGGCACTTGGAAAAATGAAAATACTGACATAATATCTCACAAATGTGCAAAAAAACGTAAGTTGAACAGGCCTCCTGTGGCCTTAGTCATATCATTAACCGTTTGTGCAACACTGTGGCACTTCCAGCAAAGCGAGCCTCTGATGTGGGTCATGTTTGTGTCCTGGCATCTGGGATTTTGTAGCAACTCCAGGAGCCCGTACCACTTTTAAAAAAATGCTTAACGATAAGAAAGCAGAGTCCCACTTGAGACCCTGTAGCGACTATTTCCCAGAAACAACACAAAGACAGCTTAGACATTGGAAAATAATGTGACAGCATCCCCAAACGTATACAGTTGAGGGAGGGGGGAGTGCAGATTATTACAGGCTGAGCTCAAAGGGTTAATGGATCATACAGCTTATTTAATATTTGAAAATGTGTGGATCCCGTTTGGACCCGTGTCGTGCTGCGATTTCTGCTGCCGGCGCTGAGTCTCTGTCCCTAGCCTCTTTCAGCAGAGGAGGTCCGCTGCATCTGTTGGCGCTGCTGTTGCCATGGAAACCATGTCTGGCATACTTAACGCCTCTTTCTGATGCCATTACATGCTAGGTTTTGTCCATTCACACGGCAGACACTACTCATTTCCAATGCCTGACCTGAAGCTTGAGCTAAACTGTGTGTGGAGGTGGCGTTATTGGGATGGAGCCTTGTCGCGCGACTTGTATGGCAAGCCACTTTATCGTGTAATAGGCATGTTCAACGTCCGTACTGAGAATTTCATCTCATCAAAATGAGTGTGTACTTTTTAAGCATGGTTTGTGTGCATAACATGCAAAGCTTAGACATTAAACGGTAAAATGTTTACTTTTAAGGAATAGACATCTTGAACTTTTCTAAATAATCAGTTTTAAAGGATTTTGATTGCTGAAATGTCAGTTTGTCATAAGCAAAAAAAAAAAAAAATAATTAATAAATTAAGATGAATAAAGAAAATAATAGAATGTACAACAGCAATTTGATATGGTATGGTCTGGTAAGCCATTTATGGTATAATGGCTTGCCATAGATTTATCTACGATTTAGTCTTAATTGACCTGCAGGTATTCTGATAAAAAAAAAAAAAAAACAACCTCAATGGGTTATATTACCAACATATTTCTGCTCTAAAGTGAGGCTAATTCTTCTTGGTGTACTTTGATGTTCTTTGGTAAATGTTTTGTAACCAGGAGGTGGTGGAATTGAGCCACAGGTTTAATCTAAAGAAGGTGGGTAACACAGAAGAGAGAGGGGCCAGGAAGAGTTCAGTGGCCTAGTTTTCTGCAGGCTGGTATTTCTGTGAGAGGCTGCCACAGTGAGCCCAGCACAGCCGGTGACTTCAGAGCTGAGAGGGCCGTTTGGTGGGTGGGTGGCCAGATGGAGAGCGGCAGCCCAGGGCGGCTGCAAGTTGCTGCTTTTTTTTTTTTTTTTCCCTCTACTGGCACGCAGCCTCCAGCCTAATCGCTCCCCTGTCCATTCTCTCATCCTAATAACCCTTTCTCTTTCCTCTCAAGCTGCCAATCAGTCGAAAGAGTTGACCCTCCGTTTGTAAAAAAAAAAAAAAAAAAAAAAAGTGTCCTTGTGGCTCTTGCAATGACAAAACTGAGAACTAAACTTCCACAAGTTTAAAAAAAAGTTTTTCCCCCAACTTCAATCCCTTCGCAAACTCATCCCCGGCAGCAGAAACCTGATTGTAGAGCAGCCATGGCAGAACACAAGAGGCAACTTCAACATCACAAAGAAAATGTCTCGTCTGAACATCTGCAAATAAAAAAAATTAAAAATCATAGTAATGGCAAAAATATAAAATAGAAACAAGTAAATAAAACAGTTACAAGGGGATTTTTGCCACAAAAAAAAAAAATATGAGCATACTATTTTCAATTTAAGAGCAGAATTTCTCGATTTTGGATAATGTGCTGCCCTGATTTAATGCCCTGCTCCTGCACTTGAAAATAACCATGTCCGCTTACAACATGATTAACCAAATAGTATGCCAAAAAAAAATTAGCATACTATTTTCATTTTAGGAGCAGAATTTGTTGATTTCGGATAATGTGCTGCCCTGATTAAATATTCTGTTCCTGCACTTGAAAATAATCACGTCTGCTTACAAATATATTCTGCTGCACAAAAAAGCTTTTGCATAATCTGCTTCCTCCCTTTTGCACAACTATCTTCTGCTCCTGTTTGAAGCCTACACCTCATGCTTTAAAAACCTTTTAGATTTTCTTTGCTTTCACTTGGAACAAAGTGTTGGTAGCATTTACAGTCAATAGAATCACAAGTGAGACTTTGACATCACTGGCCTTTAGGTGTAAATAGAGCGTAAGATATTTGTGCGAGAGGCATCAAATCTGATTGCAAAAAGAAGATTTGATGCAAGAGTAGAGTATTTATTAAGCAAACAAGTTTTTTTTTTTGTGAGAGCAGAGTTATGCAGGGGAGCGCAACAGAATAAAATGTCTTGCTCTCAAATTGAAAACTTTTGCTCCTAAGTTTTGAAAATGAAAAATTACACTCAAAAACAGCCAACGTCATCAAACATCGACGAAAGAGACGGAGGAGTGGCGAAGTGCGAGGAGAGATGTCAGTCTGTTGAGTTTTAAGGATCCTCTCCTGCTCCCCATCCTCTTTCAACCCTATAGCTGCATGAGCAACACAAGTCTGACGAAACGCCCAACAAAAAGCTGGATTTTGTAAGGGGACTGAAATAAGAGCTATTTTCTTTAAATACAACATCTTAGAAAACAGGGTAGTTTTTAGTAAGTGCATGTTTACTGCTTAATCGAACCATGACGTGTTTCCCAGAATTTTTTTTTTTTTTTTTTACATGATGTTTGCCCCTTCGGACAGACTGAAATGAGGCAGTTTGGGATAGTGTGGCGTCCTAGTCAGTCCAGCTGTAAGCAGCACTGAGTGTATCCCATCTCCCGCTGTGGAACAACGTGAACATTCCCTCTTTGTTGGTATTTTAATTTTTTTTTTTTTTTCTTCACAGCTGAAGCTTATTGGGGTCGAATCTCATGTAGCTAGGCCCACCACCTGTTTTTCACAGCTGGTTTGGGGTCTTTTTAGCTTAAAGAATACAGGACTGTAGTGTTTGTCACCACTGAGGGCCTTTTATACACAACCCGGCCCCGTTGATTGAATTACAGTAAAGCAGCTGGACAATCCAGGAGCTGAACAGTGCTGGTTTTTGTGAGTCGGGAGGTTGTTGTGACACGTCCCGCCAGTAGGGGGAGTCAGACACACCAGTGCCTTAAGTTTCACTTGTGAAAAAAGAGAGGAAGTAATGGTTGGTCATTGCAAGGTGGCTAACCCACCGTTTGTCTGTTCGTTCGGCCCCCGGTCTGGTCTGTGTTCATCACCCCTCCACATGACCGGGGACGGATTGTCAAAAGTGCTCTCGCCCAGTTTATGAAGCAGGAGGAGCAGGAAAATTTAGCAGCAGTTCTGAGGTTTCAATACTATAAGTCGACACTGTTAAGCGCTCTGTTTAAATGAAGTATAAGACGAAATAAGTTCACTTGCTTTGGTTCGGCAAGTTTGTCAAATTTATGTTTCAAATGTTCACAACATTTGAAACATCTTTCTATTACATGCGTGTGTGTGTGTGTATATGAGTGCTTCCTTTTGTGGTGTCTGCAGTGCCTTGCAAAATGCATTCAAACCCCTTAAGCTTCTTAACATTTTGCCTTTTTAAACAACAAAACTTTATTATTTTTTTCATGGAAACCAACGCAATTTATTGCATAGTAATACATTGTGCCTTCCTTATCTCAGTCTTGTGCTAGTTGGACTTCGTAAAACTCTGCTAATGTTCTCCAACAGGCCTAGAAGGCCTCCACAGAACAGCTGTGTTTATACTGCTGTACTTGGTTGCACTGGAAAATCAAAGTAAACGGGGCTGAATAGAAATACACACTTTTAGTTTTTCATCTGCAACATGGTTACTTTTGTGTAAATCTGAACTGCTTAATGCCTGGGAGTAGTTGTATTGTTGCAAAATGTGTGAAACCTCAAAGGGTGTGAATATTGTTTGCGAGCCACCGTACCTCAGCACTAAGCTGGAGGCACTCTGTCAAAGTACAGTCATATAAATACTCAATGATGAAGAAGGACATTTTTTAAAAACACATGGCACTAAGACTGTCATGTTTACTGTCCCTTTCCACAGAACCAGCCAGAATGAGTAAAGTATAATATAAGAAAGCAAAGAGGAGCCTTGTTTTAAGGCTTTGTGATACAAATCCAGGAATGTACATATTCCTGAACACAGATCTTGGGCCTCAAGTTTAGTTCTTCAACAATACAAGAGGCTTGCATTGTATTCTTAAATCATGTGAGGTGATGTGTGTGTTTTTCCAAACTCCTACCTTTTAATGCATTGCCTGGAATTGATTGTTCAAGCCAATCCATGTCACCTTTGACATCCCACACCCTCGCTATGGCATCAACCCCCTGAGCTCTTCTGGAATGTGTGTGTGAGATAGAGTGTGTGTGTCTGCGTGTGTGTGTTTGTATCAGTTAACCACAGCTGGCTTGAGCACCACAGCGCCGGGGGGAATGACCACCCAGGATAGGGGATCATGAGACCCACCTGTGGAGAGGTTTAGGACCCTCCCAGCCATCTCATCCTCTGCTTCATCTCCTCTGCCCCTCTTTGCCTGGTGGCTGTGGGGCCGGCGCTCTGAAGTGGGGCCCAGCACCGGAACCATTGGCAGGCCAAGGGCCGAGGAAGGGAAGGCAGAGGAAAGTAAAGGGGCCTTAGCCAGGCCCAGTGGGGAGCCGTTAAAGGACAAGATGGATGTGCCTCCTAGGCTGGCTGGAGACGAATTGGGGCTCCCCAGCGTGGTGAGGTCCAGGGGTCTTGGGCTAAGAGGGGACAAGGGAAGGCTACCGCCTACGCCCTGCAAGGTGTGGCCTCCCAGCAGAGCGGCAGCTGCTCCGGGGATGATGATGTGAGCTCCGCTGACGTAGGGCAATTCTGAATCCTTACTGCCAGCGCCAGAAGGTCCTCCGCTCTGACTTCCCTTCAGCAGAGAGCCTACGCCGCTTGGGGGGCCCTGCTCCTGAGCCACAAAGTGGCCATGAGCTTTGATGTGCTTCCGCAGCGAGCTGGGATCTGTGTAGCGCTTCAAGCAGCCCACCATCTTACAGTAGTAGGGCTTGTCTACGTAATGTGTGCGTGTATGCTTGAAGCGGTCGCTGGAGTTGGAGTAGCGCTTGTTGCAACCCTCGTAAGGACAAATGTAGGGCTTTTCACCTGCGGAGGGAAGAGATTTTCCACATGAGAATTTATATACGTCCTTAAAAAACTACATTTAAGAAATGCTTTCTTTACACTCTAATTATAAATAGCAAATATCACCGCGTCTAAGTGCCAGAAATTCAAAAACTCTGAGTGTTGAAAAGAAAATAATCACAATCAACCTTTGCTGACACAGAAAGAGCCTATGGAGCCCTCAGCTCTCTCAAATATAAGATACAACCATATTTTTTGTGAACGTTTAGTAGGGATGTGTGGCTCCAGTCCTTCACTGACGATGTCTGTCAGGTCTAAGATGTCTGCTTGATCCAACACAACTGATTCAAATGGTTCAATTGCCTCCGCAGCATGTCGGTTATCTTTGCAGAGGTCTGCTAATAAACCGTGTATTTGATTCAGATGTGTTGAACCAGGGCGACATCTAAGACATGCAAGACAGCTGCGCTTAAAGACTGACCGCCATGAAGTTTCACAGGTATAACGAGTTGTTTTACTTTTTATATGTCCTTTCTTGGTTCATAATATCTTCTGATATCTGCAGATATGTTTTTTTTATGTAGTTTATAACTGCAAAAGAAAAAGTTTGAAAAATAATTATATCTTTAGCTGTATATCAAAAACTGTCTTAGGTGAATTTATATATATATATATATATATATATTTTTTTTTTTTTAGCTTTTTTGCTAGTTGGAAGCCAAACACAGACCTGTATGTGAGCGGTTGTGTATCTTGAGGTTCTCCAGGCGTGAGAAGCTCTTGTTACAGGTGGGACAACGGTGTGGTTTCTCATTGGTGTGAGTGCGTATGTGAATGAGCATTTTGTACCTGCAAGCAAAAAAAGAAACGTGAAACGTCGCTTTTAACACAGAACATCTGATGCGCCCTTATAAGACCTCAACGAATGATTTCATCACCTGGCATTAAACCCTCTTCCTTTGCGAGCACAGCCCTCCCAGTGGCAGCAGTACCCAGAATCCTTCTCAGGTTTCACATGGAAGTCGTTGACATGGTCCACAAGGTCTTGTAGGGAGTCAAAGAGCAGGTGGCACTACAGGAGGGAAATCATTTTATACAAACCGTAAGAGGTCATAAAGGTTTCTCAGTATCCAACTCCAACTCTTGTCTACCTTTTTCCAGCGACATGCAAGTTGTTCATCCGCTGAAAGGTCAGGAGAAGCCCGCTTGTCACTCGTTTGGCCAATGAACATAGAGGATGGCAGGTGAAGTCCTGCTCCAGGACCAATTGGCACAAAGAATTGAAACGCCTGCGAGATGTGAGAATTCTGATGAACAGTAAAAACAAAAAAAAAACACAAAAAAAAGAGAGCGAGAGAAAGGCTGATATATATTTTTTTAAAAATAACTAGAACTGAATTTCCTGATAAGATTGAACTTTTTCCTTATGGTAAAAGCGTGAGAAACTGCGAGAAAGAGAGAGTGATGGAGGTTTAAGAATAAGGATGTAGCGGTAGGCTCAGGGGGTTAGGTGAAACACAGAGGGGGTACTGGGTGGTTTAACTGCCCTAGCAATTCGATTCAATTGCGCTGAAATTGAATTAGGCGGCATGAGGTCTGCATGGCCGTAGTTTTGTCTTAAATCTGATTACTCACACACACACACACACACACACACACACACACACGCACACACACACACACACACACACACACACACACACACACACACACACACACACACACACACACACAAACACACACACAACATGCCAATGGGGCCACTGAGTGCATGTTGCACAGACAAAGGCAATTGTTGGGGACACAAGTCGCATTTGATAAGAGCTTCCCTTCCCCTCTCATGGACAGAGGCCTCCCTAATCTTGCATAATTGAATTCCCCTGTGACATTGTGACACGACTTGATGTTGCCCCTGATTTGATGACCCAAACATCCTGAGTCAGGCTACGGAAGGAGAGCGTAAAACTTTTGAGTGCGGACAGCATACAGTGCCCTAAAAATTGTACAATATTGACACTGCTTAAACGTTCTCACAATTTGTTGTATTACAACATTTCAGTGTATGTCATAAAAAAAAAAAATTGTGTAATTAGTCAATACCTTCTAAAAAACAAAATTAACTGTAATTACCACTGCAAGTACTTTTAGCTGTAATTACACCTTTGCAAAAATGGTTCAAGCTCAGTCAGATTGGACAGAGAGGATCTATAAAAGAGTATTTTTGAATTTTGAGTTGAACGTGAATTGGCAACACGGAACATGCCGCTGTGCCGTACTCTTTCCATTTTCAGATGACGGGCTGAGCAACGCGGCCAGATGTTGAGAGCTTGTGGTTTGTATTTGTAGTAATGTGAGAGAATGTTGAGTGTTTGCAGGGACTTGCATGTCATACTCACGCCTGAGGGAACGTAACTGCCGTTGCTTATTTCTGGAGAGCTGGGGGTGTGTCGGGAGGAGGGAGACATGCTCAGGTCCACCGCGGGGGGCGTCGGGGTGTCGGTCCGGTCGTAAGGGACCACCTGCACACCTGCGAAAGTACACTCGTGTTGGAGTGATGTCACTCTTGAGATGCATGTTACAGGGACACTGGACTCTCAGGACGACCGTTTTTGTAGACCTGACCACCAGCTACAGATTAGGACCCGCTGTGTATAAAATTTTCACTTTATTGGTTTTACCGTTTGCAGAGAAATGATCTGAATAGTTTCAGACAGGATTCAGAGCTCTAGAAAGTTTGTCCTGTTCAATCCCAGTTTCAAATATGGCATGTTTCAGGGGGATAAAGGTTTTATCTCTTGTTTTTAAGTTATATTTTTTCACTTGAATCTAGTTTTTCTTTTGCAGTTCTTATGATTACTGACAAAATTAAGACCAGTCTATCCTAGAGTGATGTAGAAGAACCGGTTCATTCTTAATTTGTCGAAGACGGATAATGCTAATTCTCAAAGAAATAAACTTTGGGGAAGTTTTTGAGAATTAAGAGAGATCACGTTCTGCAATAGCCTTTGACATTATCTGTGGAAGTATTTTTTATGTCAGTTGTGTTGAAACAGGAAAACCATTAAAACAGGAGAGACATTGGCCTTCGAGATTCAGAGTTGCCCACGTCTGGCTTAGGTTCTCATAAATGGCAATAGACTTAACGTGAAGGACACCGCATGAGGTTAAGACCACCTTTCCTCAGACTGAGCTTTTCTTTCTCCCTGTTGTTGGACATTACAAAAATAATCACAAAAACTACTGCAAACCTGTCTGGCCCAAGTATCGATCTAAGTTTTTTTTTTTTTTTTTCCCACTGTTATTTTCATCAGTTTTGTGCAGAAGTGGCTTATAAACTAGCCAACATCAGTGTGTCTGCTTCTGGTATCGCCTGGTTACCACCTACCTGAGTGTGGAGATGCAGGTGAAGCGGGCTCTATAATTGCTGTCCCATCATCCGTCATATGCAGCTGGCGAACCCGCTTGGGATGCAGCGGTGAGAGAAGAGGAGAGCGGGTTCCCCTGTCCTTCCCGTTTGCCCTCCGAGGTAGTTTCAGGTCCAGGGGCTCGTCCAGCGACAGCATGGCTGCAACCCGCTGACCTCCCAACTGCAAAAGCAGGGACTGAGGTAAGGAACCACACTTTCAACGCTATATACTTCACGTTTTTATTTGTTAAAAAAAAAAAAAAAAGCTTTCAAAATCTTTCATTTTCCTTTCACTCGTGCGCCACTTTGTAAGGTTTGTGTTTATAGCAAGAGAAAACGGATGAAGACTTTTTGGAGATCAGTCTATTTTCACATCTCTTAGTAACTAATGTGAAGAAATTCAACAGTCCAAGACTGTAAGCGTCAGACAGCAGAGGGCAGGTTCCCACACCTGCAACTTTTTCCCACATGAACTTTGTTTAAAAACTATCTCATATTCCACAACCCCACTGGGCAGGGAGCACTCTCCAACAATGGCAAACCGACCACAATCAAAATCTGAAACACTGAGAAAGAAAAATAAACACACACACACATACACACACACACACGATGAGGACTCGGTGACCCCGTTCTCTTTTTCCACCCTGACCTTTACTCTCACACTCTTCCTGAGGAATTTCTACAATCCGATCCAGATGGTCGCCCCCTCCGCTGGGCCTTTTTCACCTCACCCCGTGGCCGGTTGCTGGCTTTTTACACACTGTCGCATCAGGCCCTCCACCAGCGTAACCCATACTAACATCCCTCCACCTCCTGTCCACCTTCCAACTTGGACCTTTGAGACCCGCCACCAACGCCGCAGGCCTTCAGCTCCAGCTGTACCCGCTCAGTTCACCTCCTCCCTGCTCTGAAGCACGCTGACCTCTGAACCCAGCCAGAGGCCTTGCTGTTGTTTGGGACTTTAATTGTCCTCTTCCTTAGCCGCGGGACATTTAGAGTTCCTTGATCACGTTAATTTGTCCTTTTTCACATTAAGTCATGTTAGAATCACAATCTCCAGTGTGTTTTTTTTTTATTATTATTTTTTGGCGTTAGAGGCCATTGAAAATGTGGAAACATGAAACCTTTTGGTCTGCATACACAATTCCTACAGTAAAACACAGTGGTGGCGGCATCATGTTATGGGGAGGCTGTTCTTTAGCTTAAACACTTTTCCCATCAACTCTAGCTTCCCTTTCTCTGCTGAAGAAAAGCAACCCCACACCATGATGCTGCCACTACCACACGAAATAAACTTCTTAACCAACGCAAAAGAAAAAACTCAGACTGGGGCACGGGTCCACTTTCCAGCAGAACAAAAACCCCAATCATAGTATGTTAATATGTGAGATAATAAGTTAATAATCTGAAGCAGAATTTATAAATCTATGTTTCACAAATGCTCTTTGTTGAATCTGACTTAGCTTGAGTTTTGTTTTGGAAAGAAGAAATGTGTCCCAAAAGAATAGGTGGTTCTGTAAAAGACTTGTATACAAATATGACAATAAGTCAGATTTGTAACAAATATTAAAGTGTTTTCTACGTCTTTGTGTTGCTCTATCATATAAAATTCCTATAAAACACAGTGAAGTTTGTGGCTTTACCATGATTAAAAAAAAAATGGGAGCGTTTTCAAGAGGCAAGAATACTTTTACAAGACGTTAATTAAATATGAAGATATAACAATAAATCCCATGAGTTAGGGCAACCTGACTTAACATAAAGAGGTGATTCTGTTCTCTAACATCATCAGAGGTTTTCTACATAACACATCCAGGCTGTACTAGAGCTGGATTTGCTGATTTAAAGCCCAAACCTCAGAGGGCAACGCTTCATGGTTCACTGCTCCACCTCGCCAAACAAACACGGACACATCTCCTCAAAAGCCTCTTCGCAACACGGCAACAAACAGGCGTGCAGCCCTACATCCTGATACACATCTAAGCCAGGCACTCGAGTAAAATCCATCCATGCACAGAAGTAATTAATCAAGCCACAATTTCACAAATTTGTGTGTCCTTCCTCTCTCCTTCGCACAAATGCTGACAGACTCATACGGGCCACGGTTTGCCGTGAATGGTGGGCTTTGAGAGCGACTGGCCGGGAGCCACATGAGACGACGGGCCTTGTGTCTGGGAGGCATGGAGCATGGAGGTTAGCGGGCGATGGCCTCAGCTTGCACATGCGTATCCATACACGGGGGGCTTACGAGAGGGTCCAGAGACCCCCGTCGGCCAAAGATAAGAGGATGAACAGGGAAACGGAGTGTGTAACATACACAGAGCTTCTTTGTGCTGCTATCTATCAGTTTGATTTTACAGCAAAAATAGACACTCGTGTTCTTCGCAAGGATAAAATCTAAACATTGCGTGGCCTTCGTGTTTGCACACCATGTTGCCGACAGTTGGGATCAATTTTAGCAGATGAAAGCACGAGAAAGAACGTGATGTGTTAAAAACAGACAAACATCCTGTCACTTTTCCAGCTGAGCACGTGTCACGAGAGAGCACAGTCGTTTTGATCGGTGAATATGTTGCGACTGATATTTGTTGCGCCGTAACAGAAGACAGAGGAACATCAAGGCGCAGTTGGGCAGGTCTGATGAGTGTAATTAGTTTCTTCTGCATAAATTCTGCGGGGAATTACTTGTTTGTATGTTTTGGCTACATATCTTTTGTGGATGTGAGAGAGCTGGTAACATAAGCTATTTATAAAAGTCTACAGATGGTGTAATATTTGAGGTTTTGTTTTATTGTCTTATTTAGAACAATGTCTGAAATCTCTTTGAAAATCAAAATCCTTGGCAACTGCATAATTATAAACGTTTTCCATGTGAGTTTATGGAAAACTGATCAAATAAACACTGACCTCCTTTGCACAGACGTATGACAGAGTCGTATTACTTTGGCTTTTCGACAGTTGCGAGTGTTCAGGCTAAGATTTTTGCTGGATAGAATCAATCTGAGTTGAAAGCATTTCGAGTTTTTTTTTTTTCTATTGGGTTTACATCTGGACTTGGACTGGGCCATTTGAACACCTGAATATGATTAGATCTAAACCCTCCACTCCACTTCTGGCTGTGTCAAAGGTGAATATTTACCACAGTCTCAAGTCTTCTGCAGCCTCTGGCAGCTTATTCCAAGAATTCCCTGTGTATAAGCAGCTTCCCTGTTCCTGCAGATAAAAAGCCTCCCCGCAGCATGGTGCTGCCACCATTATGTTTCACTGTGAGAATGCTGTATTCAACATTGATGTGCAGTGTGTGAATTTTGCTACGCAATATGTAGAACATAGCAACAAACAAACAAACAAACAAACAAACAAACAAACATTCACCCATATTAATTTGGATTTATAACTGAAAATAACATTATAAATGTGATGAATGCACTAAAAGCATCTTTTAAAAAAAGCTGTAATAATATTATTATTCACACTCAGCTTATCTTAGTGAGTTCCAATCATCCTCAGAGGAGACGCCTCCAGTGTCCCCACGGTTGTGTTTCACCTTTGCCTACCCTCAGTCAGTCTGATTGGGAAGTGACTCAATGTGTGTGTGGATCTTGGACTAGACTTACAGGATTTTGGCTGAATCTTTGAAACAGCATCCACTGAGAAGGGGCTTGTAAGAAAGAGTGTAACAAGTAGGGCCGTGCAGCAGAGAGTGGGGAGTGATGCAGGCAAGGGAAGATTATGGCGTTCTGTCCGTGCATGCTTGTGAGATGTGTGTGTGTGCGTGCATGCGTGCATGCATGCATGTGTGTGTGTGTGTGTGTGTAAAGCTTTGCTGTGGGTGGCTGTGAAGTTTGAGGATGGGGTGTTGGCTGGCCCCCATGCAGACTTCCTCGCTCAGCCGTGGGGTCGGCAGTGTCTCTGAAAGGCAGCATTGTCCCTCCCTGGGCCCTCTCTCAATCTCTCGCAGAGTAAACATGGACTACAGCAGCTGAGTGGGAGGGAGGGAGAGGAGGGGAGATCGCAGGGGCCGCAGCGAGGATATATGAGGGTGAGGAGGAAGTGCCGGAGGAAGATTCCTCAAAGGGAGGTTTTGTGTGTGTCTTCTTAGCGAGCGTTATCATCTATCTCCTCGTGTAAATCTTTCCAACCTGAGTCCTGAAATTGTAAACACAAGTCCCTTTGAAGACTCTTGAATCCGTGGGTGTGCGTGCGCACCCGCGTTTGTGTGTGTGTGTCAGAGGGTTAAGTTTGGGTCAAAGATGGATGAAAGTCGGGTGGGTTAACGACTGAGACAGCATAGAAGGGGCATCAGGTCAAACGCAGGGCTGCGTGTTTCAACACCTCTGTGTTCTGGGGCTAAAAGCGCACGGATCAAGGCTGACCCGGCCCTGACTGGCCTGATCTTTCACCTGATCTGATCTGAGGAGATCAGAACGGGGAGGGTTAGGCTTCAGACCCGTCTGCTTTAGAGGACATAGCTGTTAACCATAAGGTGATTATGCTTCAGGGTATAAAATCATATTGTGCAATATTTTATTTTCCGAGCGGTATTTAGGAGGTTTGAAAGAATGTGTATGTCTACAGATTTTGCGCGGCCCCCTCGGAGGTTGGCTGTAACTTAATCTCCCTCCTGCCGGGACCCTGGGAGGTGGTCTGTAGGAGGTAAGCCATCTCTCCCCGGGGCTCTTTGAGCGCTCACTCTCATTTTCCCTTTCACACACACATGCACACGCATGCACTGAGGCCAACTGATCCAAGCAACACTATGAAAACACAAAGTCGTCCTAGGCTGATTTCTTCCTCCCAGTAAATCCCTGAAGCGTCCCAGATTTCAAGGTGCGATGGAAGGAGGAAGGGGGGTGGGGGGGGGCACTAGAAGTCTGTCAAGAAATCAGTGAAATGAAACCTCATTAATGAATTAATGTAATTGAGCTTCAGTCACATTTGACTGCAGTTATTACCATTTAATACATTTTAAAAATGGATTAAAAAAGCTGCCCTAGTTCCTGGAAAAGGATTTCTGTAGTGGAAACGGGCCTGATGTGAACAGAGAAACTCCCTTAAGTCCATCACATGAATCACCGCAGAGCAGAACATTTTCTTCCTAAACACTGTTAAATGTGTGAAAAGAGTCGTCGTCAACAGCAGCACCTATAAGACTAACGGACTTAAAAGGAAAGAGTA